GTGCCAAGGGGTTATCTGGCAATACACCTGCAACAAAGAAATAATCGAAGATGAAAGCCAGTCTGAAACTAAGAGTTAGCAACAATATCCAGAAATGAGCCTGTGAACACAGCAAGGCAGCAGAATAGCAACTGGAAACTGTCAGTTGGTCCATTGCTGTGGCTGAGACCACACATCTCATGCAGTTGTAGGCGTGCTGATAACAGAAATATGTTAACAGTTTGACAAGATTTCAGAGAAAAGGATGGGGGAAGGGGTTCCCTTTGGAGCTCAGGACTCTCAGGGTCTGTCCATGTCACTCTTTGGCACCTTCTGTAAGTTTGAGACCTGAGGACCTTAAAAGGACTGAACCAAATTCTTCCTTAAGCTATTTCTAGATGCAAAGGTGAAGCTTTGCAGCAGTCAACCAACTAAGTAGAGTGGCAGCAAAACTTGGCTCAAACTCTTTAGCATAAGTAAGTAATGAAAGAATGGAGAATATACTGCTCTTTGTATTTTTGGAAAAAAAGTAAGGGTGATTCTGGGAGGTTTGGGGCAAAATAGTGGGAAATGGAATGACGTAAGCAAAAATCAAGTCAATATAATTAGAAAACAAAATCCTGCTAGGATGCAGGACTCCAAGGAGTTCTGTTACCAGAGTGATTTAAAAATAGGAGAAAAAAAATGACTAATCCTAAATTGAAGGAGAGTATGAAAGTGTAAATCTCCATCTTTAATTTCTAGAAGAAAAAATCTGAGAATGGCTCTATTTAGAGAAATGGCCAGAACTATTCTGTTTCTACAATGGAATTTTTGCTTGACTATGAAGAAATTAAAAACGTCAGAATTTGTTTCCATGGTTCTCGTTCCAACTTCAAATACAGTTTCCTGGGTTTATGTTTTTCCACTTTTCTAGGAAAAAAAGGAAAAAAGAAAGCCTTCTCTCACCTCTCACTTCCCCATGCATACATTCTGGATAGTTAAGCAGGTATTTCATCGGAATGTTTGTCTAACCATGTTAGTAATTAAATCCATGAGTTCTGCCAGTCACATGAACTCAGCATTTTATTTTAGTTCAATGAGGAGTTACGTAAGCATTTATAGTCTGAACTGCATTCGTCGCTGTTTGCAGTGCTTCTTACCACGGGATGCATTCGTCCTGGGTTTTGCCTAATTGCAAGGACATTTGTCTGTTTGTGGGAAGGCTTAAGATATGCTAAAACACTTAAAAGTTTCAAGTCACCAATGTCAATTTATGTACCATGCTTCATTAACTAAAACTAACCCCCTTCACGTAACAACTCAGAGGATCAAAGTAAATGTGTGTAGCTCCCATTAAACACAGCAGCATCTTACCTTATTCTATCATTATTTGTTACTGTGAGCTTCAGAATTAATAATTAAAAACAACAATATATAAATAATAAAAAAATAATACATAAACACACTGTTAGATATTGCATAGAATATTATATCACTAATAAAATGTGTAATTTAAAATTATTTGAACATTTAAAATGAAATGAAGCAACCTATAAAGAGGAGATGATATAAGTTACCGTTGACAAGGAATTTAGTGCAGTGCCTCATATGTTTGGTGCAGTGATCTCATGTTTGTGTACAAGATCCTGAATTTAAAAACTTGTAAAACAGAGTTGCTTAGGAAGGCTAATAACTTCTAACATTATTATACAACATATTAATTTTTCAGTCACAATTGTATTTGATTCAAACTACGGGGAGAAGAAAATTCACATCCAAAACATGTATCATAAATGTTTTGTGAAGGTTGGTGTTTGGCGTTCCTTTAACACATTATCTTCTGAATTGCCCGAGCAACATCCTCTCAAAATACCTTTTCAAAAACATCTCCCAGAATAAAATGACAACGTGATTTGTTTTCCATTCGCCATCTTCTTTCTGCTATCTCTATATAATAAACAACTTCCTACAGACTTTTATTTTCAACATTTGAGGTTTGATGGCAGAATGTAATTTCTGAGAAGCAGATGAACTGAAGTATTCACCATTGCTGAATGAGCCTGCACCCAGCAGCCGTTAACTGGGACATACATAAACAGGAATATCAAACGGTGGTTTTGCCATGTGATCTCTTCCACTGCACACACAAATATAGAACATGACCATAAAAAGTAACAGAACATGCTCTCTGCTAAGTAATTTATTGCAGTTGATGCTAGATCGGTATGCCAGCTGGAATTACCTTCCCAGCTCCTACTGTTTTCACATATACAGATAATAAAGGCTATGCACTGCAGCAGATTCCAATGAAAAAATATCAGCTTTATTATCAAGGAGCAAAACTCTGCAGAAGCAGCTTAAGCAAGCTGAACCGAAAATGTTGCTAGTGACTCACAGAAGGATCTCAAGATCTGAAAGAACACTTCAGCCTGCAACATTTTCACAGAGGGGAAAATTTTTGCTTGTTGTGTCATACGTATTTCTCTTCCTTCTTTGCTAAGCACAGAAAAGTCTAAGGATCATGATACACGTAGGAGCTTTCTTTTAGTTTGAATTCCTTGTTCATTAGTTTATAAGCTGCAAGAGCTGAGCTAATTTATTTTTGCAGGGCATTTTCCCCTCCCCTTTTTTTTTTTTTAAAGGCACCACGTATGACATCCCAACATGACAGGAACTCACTAAATCCCCTCAGTCTCCACACTGCTGTCTCTGAATGTCTGCAAAGCTACTATGCCATAATCGCAGCCTGCTGGCTCATTCACAGCTTTACATTATAAAGCAAACAGTCTAGACAGCTGAATGACAGAATTACTCTCTTTTCTCTTGCATTTATAGATATGCTGTCATCTTCATTTGCTTTTCTCTACCCTGTGCATTCTGATACACTAATGACTAGCTTTCCTGTTTGGATTCCACACTGACTCTGTGGCTCTAGGCTGTAAATACAACCAGAGCCCAGATGACATTGCATCAATAAAGTCCTGGGGGGGAAGGACCCCTGATTCTTTCCCTCCCTGGCGTTATCTGGTGTTAACTAGCTTTTTCAAAACTGTTAACCAATACAGCTTTGCAAAAGGATTCTTTTCCCCACTGAGACGGAGATATAAAAAGCCTGATGCTTTTTGTGCTGTCGGTCTCTGCAGTGGAGCATGCTATTCAAGTTGCATACAATAGGCAGCCTTCAACTAGTTTCAGGTTGTCTGCTTTATAGCTGCATGTAGGACCGTGCAAAAAGTATGTGCAAAAAAGAGGAGAGGAATTAACAACTGTACAGTTTTGGATGTCTATCAAAAACCTATCCAAAAATGCACCTAACAGTCTTCACTTTAAAAAACTTTCAGTAATTGGATTGGGTTTGTTGTCACTGAGAAATGAACCTTAACCTGTAATATTCCTGCCATTGTAACACATGTGTCACCTGGCACTTCCTCTGACCTAAAAGATAATTCAATGATAAAAAAATACTTTTTTTTTGCCATCAACAAGCTGAACAATTCTATGCAAGCCTGATAATGCCCAGCTATACATGTGGCCAACTGTGGTTATATTTATGGCAAGGTTTTTATTATTTGTTGCTTTTCTTAATGCTTCTGCAGCTGCCGTTCTGGATTGCAGGAGAATCTCTTTTTACACTTGTTCTTTTTTTTTTTTCTTTGCTTATTTTGTTGCCATTTTAAAATGAAAGTTTCTGAACTTTACAGCTGAAGAAATATCAAATTTTTGACATCAGGTTCAGAAAATGTTAGGGGTAAAATCGAGGAGAAGCCACTCCAATTCCAATTGAAAAGCAGAGAAAATCAGACTGGTAACACATCACCAAGTAGTGAGCCAGAGCTTTAACTTTCACCAGAGGGGGACAATGCCAACAATGTGGAGCACTGCATTACTTTAGTGGCCATTGGAGATTGTTCATTGGGGAATATTTTACCAACAAGCACAAAGAGTTTTCTGGGCCTCTGGGTGCGACTGTGTTCACAGCCAATATAAATGACTTCTTGAGGCCTGTACCAGTGGGAATTTTGCTGGTTCTCTGCAAATCATGACTCACTTTTCTCTCTGAGATCAGGGACAGATGGAAAAACAACGGATCCCTTCCCTTGCTTGGAACTCCATAAATCAAAAGTCTCATCTGGCATATCTGTGCTTTTATTTTTCTTTTTTTTCCTTGAGTCCATTAAAAGATACTGATTAGTAACACTTTCAATTTGTATCTCTATGATCCACAATGACAGCAAAATTTCAATAATCCATCCTAGTTGCAGAGAGCTCAGATTTGAGAATACAGAATCTAGTGAACTATGAGCTACCAGAAAAAGACAGAACTGAAGGCTGTGCAAGTAGAGTCTTCATTCTCTGCACACGCACAGAAGGAAGGCTGGAGAGCAGTCCCACAGAAGGGCTGCCCAATCATTGTTCCCAGGACTCACACAGTGCTGCTATCCAAAACTCTGTGCCCTGCCGAAACCACAAATGACATTTCATTTCATTTCAAATGACATTTCTTAACAACTCCACAGTCTCCCTGAGCCTTCTAGTTGTGAAAGCTTACCACTAAAGTAAATAAATCAATTTGATCTAAAATGCCTTTTCACTTTCTTGATGAAAAGCATTGCCTCTTCCAAAATCAGAGCTCTGAGAGTATTCAGTCTAGGGGCTAGTATTGATCTTTTTTTCTTTCAATAGCTTATTCCCTAACTTCCAAGTCTATTACACAACATCCCTGTGGGGTAGCAAGAAGTCATTATGTTGCCTAGTGTCTTCAGCTTCCGGAGAAAAACTGATCCTACTTACAGCCCTATAATGGAAACCTCCTTTGCTTTCTACAGTGATGTTATATGTATTGGTTCAGAAAAATTCCTTCACTCTGGTTATTGTAAACCTTCTGGTTATTGCAGTACCATGCTAATAACACTAAAAGCAAGCATCTAAGTACACTGTATAAAGTAAGAGATAGAAGCAAATGCAGGGATGATACAAAACATGCAGGAAGACAGCCTTTAGATGCAGTGACTCTTGAAACTGTAGGTCAGTTTTCTTACCTCTTGAGGCTCTTGACATTGAGATGCTAACACCAGGAAAGATCTCTGTGCTTGGAAAGCAGCACGTACCATCTCTGCCTGTAAGGAAAGGAGATAAGTTAAATCTTAGCCTGTGACCTCCAGTACTTCTCTTTGGCAGCTCAAAGTCAAGTGTGACAGCTCAAACTTTTCTTGCTGTTTCTCATCTAAATCACAGCAATGCTGACTGGAAAAAATGTACTATAGTGGCTTAGCTATATATATATATATGAAATCTCAGGTTAGGCTTCCTATCTTCTTCAGATAGGAAATAAAACAAGTTGATATGCAGCCTTTTGCTTATCATTTCTAAGATAAGTCACGGAAGGACTTCATTTTACCACTTTGGAGAATGTTCAGACATTTTAATGGCAATGTAATGGCAGTGTTTATAATCAGAGTGCAAGATAACAACTTACTACTGCTGAGACCTGCAGCCTGCAAACTTTCTGTTGAATGATACCTTAGGCTGTAGTGATGTTCAAGAAGAGTTGAGTTTGGCATATTTATTGAGAGATGAGCTGTTAACTCATTCCTTTCCTGTATTTCCCTGTGCAGACCCTAAGACTGATGGCTATGAGAGATGAGGGTGGCTGAGGATTTTTGAGCAATTTCCCCCCACTGAACTCAAGAATTTGGACTAAATCTGCATCTGACAAATTTGTTTTTGAACACTACACATTTTTCTTCTATTATGAATGATGTATGTTGTTTTGAATCTAATCAGTATTTCAGTATTACCTATATCTTATTCAAGTGGATGAGTAAAGACTTAGAATGATGAGTTATTAGCAAAGAAAAGAACTATTCATAAATAGTATGTATTAGCTATATAAAACCAAACCAAATGCTGTTAAGTTAATCTAATATGAATGAGTACATTTATGATCACTTTGTGAAAGGGTGGGGAAGTTCATGCTATTTGTCTTTGAGGTTCCTTCAGTCTAAAAAGAAAACAAGAAAACTTTATGTATGGGCCTGTGGGTATGTATGTGGGTGCAACTTAAATTACATTACAGTTAGGAAGTTCAAAGTTCAAAGCCAAATGGTGTTTATCTATCTTAAAATGTGATGGCATGAATAAAACTTAATCTGTTAGGATGAAAATCACTGCAAGGAAAGGTGGTAAAACAGAGCAACTTGGACACTACTTGTGTAGAAGGGGGATGTTATGTTCTGACAAGCTGAGATTTGTAAGAAGGCAGTCAACTCTATAAATGGATAAATAAATAACAAGGGAAATTATATGAGTACAGGAAACAACTTTTTTGGACAGATAAAAATACTACCAATAATGGCAAGATTTGGGTTTTTTTAGGCATTTCAGAAGACTGACTTTTGGTACAGAAAACAACATGCATGCTATTTTAAGCTTAATTTTTGTGCATAAGGAGGACCTTGCAGAGCAGCTGACCAAAAAATAATATCCGAGGAGGAGTGATTATGAATGGATTTAGTTCTTCTCAAACTGCAAGATGGACAAAATAAATCTACAGGCCAGTATTTCTGAAGGGCCAACTTGTGGAAAATAGAAAAGTCAGTGAATGAAGATGAGTGGCCTGAGGAATTCGATTAACTGAATGCAGAAAAGAATGGATTTGCATTAATAATGGAAATAATCTGCACATGCTGGACGAGAGAAGAATTAACCAGTCTCTGGATGCACAAATGACTGAAGCAAGATACTACGTACACAACCTACAAAGAGTGAGAAAAGGCCTTGATTATCAAGGAGAATTTGGTTCAGAGATTATAAAATAAAAAAGCAAGGGAATGAAGGATAAAGGCCTTGTTGGTCTGTATTACACAGAGAAGTAAAACTAAGCCATAGGGGTTTTTTTTAGCTACTGGAACAATAAAGAATGCAAGAGATGAATTGAGGCCATGGTCATGAGCTGAAGAGTAAGTTGAGCATCCTTACATTGTTCTTGATGTATAACTTCATAGAGTCATAGGATGCCTTGTGTTGGAAGGGACTTCAAGGATCACCAGGTTCCAATCTCCCTGCCACAGACAGTTGCCAACCACTACATCAAACATCTGATCAGACTGCCTGGGACCCCATCCAACCTGGCCTTAAACAGCACCAGGGATGGGGCACCCACAACCTCTCCAGGCACCCTGTTCCAGCTAACTCAGAGGGTGAAGTTCAGAAGGGTTCTTCCAAATTCCTACATAGAGCCAACGCTATTTAAGACAGAACTTTGAATGCTGATAGATCACAAAACAAGAGTTTGAAAATAAGAAGTCTGGCTTTATTTTTTTTTTTTTTTTTTTTTTTTTAATACTGCATTAAATCCATACTTTTGGGTTCCCATTTACACATTAGACTGAGTAGAACTTCCTTCTCCTCTCAGAGTATGACGTAACAATTGGTTTTGTGCCTAATTTTTCACTTCTTTTCTGCTGATGCTCTAGCTTTCCACATTGTTTTTATTACCCCTTACTTATTGTAGGGCATTGGAAACATTCAGTGGTCAGTGCACTTGTACTGACTGGTGATACCACATCCCCTGAGATTATCCAGCCCCATAGGCTTTTAGTTGTACAGGGGGAAAAGCACTGATATTTCTTACCTTTGAAATTAAGTCTTAATCAAAGGATTGTGCTAACACAGGTTTTGAATTTTTACGAGCCCAATTTCAGAAGACTTCTGCAACAAATACTTCCTTCTTTCTCCAGCAGCATTAAAAATGGGTTTCTGAGTTTAATGTTTCCAAACATGCAGTATTTCTTTCCATGCATCCTATCGAAGTATTAGAAGATCTTCTTCTAATTAAGAATTCATTAGTTCAGTTTATCACCACCTCAATTCTTTCAGTATTTGAAATGTGACACTTCGTTGCTACTTCCTTCTTTTTAGCAAGCCGGCTGTGTAACCAAGCAGAAGCACTTTTTAATATGGAACTGACTCTTTCATTAGACCTCCATATCCATTGAAGTCTAGTAAGTGAAAATGGACCAGAGGGATTTTTCTCAACAGCTTGTGCTGCTCAGCCAAAAGATTGCCACAGAATAAATCAACGGAGATTCTTTCAGTTATAATGAATGATAGTAATGAAGACTGAGTGTCAAAAATGTACGGAGATTGTGAGTAAATTTATCAGAGTAGACCAGAACACAAACTTGCACACATTTTTCTGCAGATAGAAATGGGATATTTTGGAGCAGCAGATAAACATTATCTCAGAACTTGGAGCAATCCTTTTGGCATTCTTGGGATTATGTACTGATACAGCAATCATCAGATAGATTCTGCAGCTGAGGCAAACATTTTGAAGGAAGCAAGTGCTTCAGAATATTTCCTATTCTGCTAAAGGCTGGAGGAGATGGCTGTGACTTTGGGCTCTAATGCCCAGACTGCCTGCATGCTATTCTCCTCCTCAGTTTCCCAAACAGTAAATTGTGGAAGAAGCTGTCTTAATCCTCTGCCTAAGGTGTGCTTTATAGTTGCCTTAGCTGGTTACTATGACTGGAACTGAAGAATTCTGATATGTCAGGCCAGTTCCATTCCTGTTGAAATCTGTGTCTGTCTACAGGGAGGGGCCTCTCCATCAATGTCACAGTAACAGCATAGACAGACCTCTTCACAGTTCAGCTTGCAGAAATTAATGGAGAAATCATTTGTCCTTAAGATGTCTCTTTCTTATTTTAAACATTTTATTTAATCTAAGTTGCCCATCACACTGGTATCCAAGCACTAATGAATACAAATATTACTTATGTAACAACAGTTTGGCAGCTTACAAGAGGAAGACAAGCACGTGCATTCAGATCTCGTTATGAGTAAAGTCAATTTTTGGAAAAAAAAATAGTAAAATAAAATAGAAATAAGAGAAACAAGAGATTTCCTTATGAAATTCAGTCAATAAAATTAATCTATTGACCTGATAATATAAATTGGCAGGTGTGATTATATTTAATAACGTATTTCCTCAGTCATAGCACTAAAAAGCATAATGTAAACATCAGAATTCACTGAACTTCTATACTTGGAGAATACTACACATCTGCATATATATACACTCGGGCACTAACAGTGATAATTTGCAAATCAAAATACAGATATATGTACATTTTGGATTTTGAAAATACCCACAATGACTTTGTTCTGAAACAAAATATTAAAGAGGACATTGGGAAGGAGAGTGAGGATTTAGTTAGTGGCCCGGAGTTTTAATCACAGGTTCTGCAGCAATCATTTGGGGTCCTCTGGGTCTAGCAAAAGACACAATGACTGTTGGCAAATAGCAACTACAGATGGAACTTCAGCCTTATGGGCTAATACCCAATCTTTCTGTGAAGGGAACAATACTGCCAGAGAAGGAGAAAGAGTTCATCTTCTACATTCTGCTTTCAAGAGCCTCTACAAAGTGAAGTGGAGAAGTGGCTGGTGGCTTAAATGGAGAAGCAAGAAATGGAAAAACAATGGTGTTTAGAGTAAGTATGGGGCTGCCATAGAAACTACCTAGGCCAGCTGAAGAGATACTATTTGTTTTGTATGGTTAATTGGCTGATATAGATTCCTTTTTAGAATTGAGCCCAATGCTGAAGTTAGTGGCAGTTCTCCAAGCAATGCACTTGATACAGGAAAAGAAAAGAAAGAAAAAAAACTATCACCTTTTCTTACTGGTATATGCAGAAAACAGGGTTGAAATTGTGGTCAAAATTGAAGTCAGTGGGAAATTTGCCATTGATTTTGATGGAGCCAGACTGCACCCCAGATGTTTTCTTTTCTATTTTCAGTGACAGATAAATTTGGCTACCACTAATCAGCTGTCCTGTATTTTTATAGTGTTTTCCAGTCTCCATAGCTATGTCTATATTAGGTAATTTTTGCTAAAATTTCTCAGCATTGCTTCTGCCTGTCCAGTACCAATCTAAGGTTAGAACAGGGCTGGTCTTTTAGTTGTTTATATCTATTGGTGTCTTAAACACTGTCATTTAACTGTGCACAGTGCTAGCCAACGTTATTTATTTGCTGTTTCAGAGAAACATCTGTATCTAAGTTCACTGATTTTACCTTTCAGATAGCTTGACTGTGATTTAAAATACTTAGA